GACTCTGCAAAGCAAACACACAAGATGTGGTCTCCAAACGTCCTGATGAAGTGCGCCAAACATCTCGTCTCGAATCAAATCTAAAAAAAGGGGAATAAAACAGGAAAGACAAACAGATAAATCAGAAAAGAGAACAGCAAACAAACCAAAAGGGAAAACCAACAAAAAGAGAATGGCAAGCAGTATATCCTCGATTGCGCAGGTATGGCAAGCAGTCTATCCTCGACTTGTCTTTGCACCCAAAAGCGATCCTTGGTTGCAAACACAGCTTCGCAAGCCCAGTGCTCCCCTTGCGATCTGTTCCTGAAGCCTTCGCCTGCCTTTGGGTTTGCTTTCAAACCCACTTGAGGAGATGAGTGAGAACTACAGCGGCGACATCTGGCATGTCTTAGACTGCTCAAGCTGAAACATTTCCAGCTTGCGCTTCTGCCCAAACGCATACATTTCCGTTGTAGGCGAATCGCCACAAGAAGAACGGCGGCAGCAACTGCTGGTGCCTGAGTTCCATCGCTGTTGCCACCGCCGACTTCAGGACTTTATACAAGAGAAATTGGTTGGAACATGGTTGACGTGAAACCTTCAAACAGAGAAGACAGGTATAGGGCACTGGTGTTACTGATGTGCGATTTAGCAAAGAGCTTTTTTGTTCGCGTCCTTACATTGAATGGTGGAGTTTGGGGATGATTTCGTCTAGTCTAGTCATCTCTAGAAATAGGAGGCCTCGATTTATTTGTGTTTAAACTAGCCGCCTTTTCGGTGAGTTGGCAGTCTCAAGCACAGCATGGCAAACAATAAGAGACTTTTGCTCATTTCGGATGGACAATTCATTTCACACATGATAGTAGCATTGATAACATTGATAAACCCCAGCAGTGATAACTGTATAGCCGGCAACGGCTACACAGCAATCAAGAGAGCTTCGAACTGTAACAATGCAATGTTGGGAGGAGTGCTGGAAAAAACATACATTTCGTAAGATAATTGCAAAGCCAATTGTTTGGGCAACACTCAGGCGACGTATGGCCATCATTCACGACCTTCTGACGGGGCGACATGCAAGTGCACGGGTGGCTTGGCATTTTGGCACAATGTCACGTAGTTGCGTATATTGTGTTACTTAAGTTAACAGCATATGAATTCTACTAGTAACAAGTGCATCGCTACTGGTAACAAGGGCCTTACTACTAGGAGCAAGAAGCAACTAGTAACACAAATATTCTAATCGTATAGCTTCTTGTTTCTATTTCTTTGTTTATGTTCAACAAGGACATATCGCATGCAGTTGCTTATGGGGTAAAAATCCTGAACACTAGTGCGTGGGAATGATGATGACCTGTTGGACATCGTGTGGTCTGCCTACCATCCAACTAACTTGTTTGGTATCTACCGTATCCAACTGGGCCTGCCCCTAGCACAAGGTTTTTTGCCCTCTAGAATCCTCTAGAACCTTCCTTGTCAGCATCTGCAAGTACATATTAAAATGCAGGGATCAAGAATCTGGCCTATCGGAGACACTTTGCGGGCAAATCTTCCTCCATAACCTTCCATCAGGACGAAGATGAAGAAGCCGAAGCCGAGGTTTCTGAAGAGGACAGTTGGGCTACAGCTACAAACTATTCCAGCGGAACTCAACGTGACATTGCTGTTTTTGGGTCCAAAGAGTACTATAATTTTATTTAGTCTCTTTTTGATGTTGGACCTGATTTCCCAAGGGATGAAGGAGCCCACCTTGGAGGTTGTGATTGGGAGTCCACCCTACTTGGACGCTTTGCTCTTGAGGACCCCGAGGAGGAACGAGCGGCCGAGTCCCTATTTCAAAGCTATGGTAAACAGAATCTCGTTATTGATGAGGCCCTTCGTCGGTCTGAGACTGAAGAACTCCAACATGGTGCCCACAGAGGGGCTCTTGTAGTGAGAAGGGATCAGTCAATCTTCAGACTGCCGCACTCATTGATTGTTTGCAGATGGAAGGTGCTCAGATGCCCTTGGCCATTGGCAAACAACCCATTGCTCCAGACAGCTTCCAAGGTACCATTCATCATCGCTTCTTGATTGTTCTCTTCGCGGGTGGATTCATGTGAACGAGCTTCAATTCTTTTTCGTGGGAAGCACTTGATGGTTGTCACCAGTACTGCGGGAGCAACGAGCAAGTCTGGGAAGTTTGATCTTTCGAGCCGGCACGAAGCACATAGGATCTATGGAAGAGTGGGAATAAGGAAGAGGTCTGGAGGAGCTAGCTGTTTCCGGATAGAGGATCTCTTTGTGCATCTTCAGAACATCTTCCAAGTTCCAACTCCCTCAACATCCTATTGTATCTATATAATTCCATGCTAAAGTGTTTAACTTATTTCAAGATTGAAGAAACCTCGTCCTTACCCCTTCCTTATCTACGTACATTGATATTGGTAAATAATCGTTCTTCCATCGGAGCATCCCTTGGGACTTTGGTCGTTCTCGGACCATCTGAATCTGCGTCGCCAAGGCCTTGGCCGAAGAGCTCGAAGCAGCCGATGCCTCGGAATCGGCGGAGGAGGCCGAGGACCGAGCGTGGCTCAAACGAAGGTGAGCTACGCGCTTTAAAGCTAAGCGCTTTAAGGAGCCTAATAGCGATGGCCTCCAACCAAGAGCGATGGCCTCCAACCTAGTAGCTATGGGAGCTATGGCCTCCAACAGGATATATAGTGAGCTTATCTCATAGGGGCAAAGAGTGTGGATGTATGTAGAAGGATGTCGGGGTGATGGTCATGTAGTGTCTTTCTTTGTTTGTTCTCAGGAGACCGGCAGTGATGTCCCCAGGGAGATGGGCTCAGTTCTTTCTTACGAGAACACCCCCTCGAAACTCACTATCGTGACAATAGATCACGTGGGCAGACAACTTGATATGCAAGATCATTGGCAATTCACAGCTTTCGCAAGGGCCACCAGGGATTGACAGCGGGATTTTTTCTCCTATGCATATGAAAGGAGATCGAGTGAGCGGTTTGCCTGGGGATGACTTTGTCTTGACTCGGTAGCTCGGCAGGAAAGTGCCGCCATCGTGACGGACAGCTGTGAAGATGTGAGCGGAGAAGAATGCGAGGACAGCTGAGATTCGTCTATTTGCTTACTTACAGGATATTTTATGTGTCCTTTTTCCAGCCCAATTCCTCACCTCCATCTCAAGAAAACGCAAGATGTGGATGTTCCACATTTTGGCATGGCCATGGCTCCTCAGCAATGTGGCCAAATACCAGACCACAACAGGATCGGTTTGCAAGCCATACTGTAATTGATTCACTGAATGACAGACCGGAACCCCGACTTGGAGCAGTCACACTAAGCTACCAGATCTACGAGCAATGGCACAGACACCTAGGTTGAATCAGCTGCACTGAAGGTTCATGTCAACTGGTTCTTCAGTTGTGTGGAGTTTGAACGTCTGTATCCCACGATCCGAATCGCTGGTTGGCCGCAAAGGCTGCCTTGTGTTTCAACCGGGATCACTCTTTAGCAAGCTGATTTGCTCGCAGGAAAGAGGCAGTTGATTCGCGCCATTGTCCTTCCAGGATCGTAGGCCAGATGAGGACAACCACCTGATCAATATAAATATCTCATGCGATGCCTTCGACACACACACAATATACATCAAGTCCAGAGCTAGGAAGTCGAAAGCCACTCTTGAGCCCTTACTGTTCTTTTGCTTCCTCATCGGAGAGAGTAGAACGATTGTGCATGCTTGAAGACGCTGGATGGCCAGATCAATCCACCCAGCTTTTCTGAAAGTTCATCGCTTGTTGGAACTGAAGCGAGACCTCTGCTTGGGTGTCTCGCAGTTGAAAGTCTTTAAGTTGACAGCACTGGGAGCTCAGCTAAACAAGTCCTTTTGCAGCATTCTTTGTCTTGCCAAGCGCCAGAACACTTGAGCCACGTTAGTTTCTCCCAGTGTAAACGCTTATTGGACATTGCTATGCGCCCTCTGGACGCACGTGTACATAAAGCTGGAATCTGAAATTGAACACTGGAACTTCATGGAGCCCCTAGGAACAGAGGCAATTGTTATTTGGACTTCGCCGCACGTTTGATATGTGTGGTGAACCAGCTCTGCCAGCTTCCAGCCACTTTTAGTAAGACTTGAAACACAGCTGACAAGCTACATTTCATGGCAAAGGCAATAGGACCCCATACGGGCGTGAACTCTGAATTGACCTGGCTTTTCTTTAATGGTGGGATTGTAAAACGAATGAGTGGGCTTGTCTGAAGCTTGGGGATCCGACGGCACCTTCAGGACAGATTTTCTTCCGATTTCCTCTTCGTTTGTCTCTTCCTTGACATGCCAGCTGTGACTGCCCTTATCCCTGCGTGGAACACTTGCACGCACATCTTTCAGTAGGTTAGTTGTATTCGACAATGTTCGAGAGAGGCGAGCAGCTTAGGAAGAGAATCAGAGCGAAGTGTGAAATGAAAGATTGATATGAAATCGATTGCAGGAAAAGTCTGAAGAAAGGGTCTACAGTTTTCCATGCACTTTACACCCCAACATTTGCGCTCAAGAGCAGCGACTTTTTGTTCCTTTTCTTGTCATTTTCATCTCTCAGCTGGGATGGGCATTTGCCAGTCTCGGGAACGGTCTGAAATAGTGTTTCAGCAGACTTTAGAGGATGTGTGCAGCTTTCGTGTGTTGCTTGGGTCGGATCGTGTGCAATCGACTGATTCGATGTGTAGCTGAAGCTGCTCAGGCCTCTTTCATGAGCCAAAAGAACAATGGCAGCTTTTGTTGAACCTCTTTATCATTTCTGGCCCTACAGTGTTGCCAAGTTTCCCTGAATAAAGGAACACCAGCCCTTCTGACATGGCAGCCACAGGCAAGTACGAAAGTGACGGATGCAGATCAAAAAGTGCATGATGAGACAGCAGCGGGCATCATGCTTCCTCTGGATGATCCAATGCAGCCAGCCTCAAAATGAAATTGAGCCCCCCTGCAGCTTCATGACAACACAGGGTTTGTTCAATCAAATCAGTTGGGGAGGTTGATGCAATTTTTTGCCTTCCACATGCTCGCCCGATCTCCAGTGGCAACTCTCGGTTGAGTGCTCCGTGGCGTGTCCAGTGACTTCGCCGTATGGGAAGAATGAGCAGATACATCACCAACGGACTCAATGGACTCCAGACTTCCGTTTTCATAGTAGCTTTTGTTCCTAGTAGCGATGCCAGGAGCCCCTAGTAGCGTCCTTGCTCCTAGTAGTAAGGCCAGGAGCCCCTAGTAGCTTCTTGTTCCTAGTAGTTCAGATGGACTACTTGTTTGCGATTTTTCAACCCACTTCAAATGAGAATTGTCCACGGTCGTTCCTCGCACACCCCACCTTTGAAGGTGCGGAAAACGCTGCGTGGGAGCACGCTCCGATGTCTGGGCCGAATGGAAACCAGGCTCGGTGCGACCAGACTTGAAACCCAATTTTTCAGTTTCAAAAGGTTTTTAATTCAAGAGGTTTTGATTGTTTGAACAATAGAATCCAATAGAATCCTGTCGACAAAACTTGTGCTTGGTCTGCTTTCAAACTGTTTGGGGTCATCCTCGGTCATTTTCTACCTTCTATTGCGCTTTGCAGTGATGCACCGGAGGGCTCCATAGTCTAAACTTGGAAGTCTTCCTCCCTAGGGGTTCGCCCGCCTGCAGTGTTTCCTGGTCCAGATGTGACCTAGGTTCGTCTTGCACATTTTGGTGCAGTGGGAGATTCTTCAAGCCGTTTCTGATGGACTTTTCTGATAGATAAGAGAGTGAAGTACTGGAACATTTACCAGAGATTGATCCATGAACCACATCATCCTTTCATCATGCTGTCTGCCTTTTCCGCTGCTTTGCTTGCTCTATGTCTCTTTGTTTGTCGCCAATGTTTCTTGGTTCGGGAGAGTAGAGTAGGCCAAGCCCCAAGTCCTTGTCGCCTGATCTTCCCTCTTCCCTGGTTGCAGAGCAGGATCTCAGAACGATACAAGGATGAGATGGAATACATGGATCTCTTTCCGACTGTCACTGACAAGGAATACCTCTGAACTTATTGAAAAAGCCTAGGTTCCATGTCAACATGCTAGTCGGAGGAGCACTATATGTTTGACCATACATACGGCGCCTGGGTCATTGCTCGTTCCGGTGACCAGAAAGGACGTTTTAGTCATAGCCAGGAGTCAAGAGCAAGAACTGTCACCTAGACAATTGCTTGCCACAGCCCACTCGAAATCATCACTTGCCAACTGCATGCACATGTTGCACCACCTCTGAAGGACACTTGGACACCCAGGTCATGTGCATACCTGTCAGGTTTGCAGGTTATTGGCACCTATCAAATGGTGTGGTAGAGCAATATACATGTAGAATGTAGCTTGTTCAAAAGAAGAACACCATCCCCCCAGAAATTGACTTGATGTCGACAAGTCCAGTTTGCCAAAGCACTTCGAATCATTGAATGGTCCCTGCCATTTTGGAGAGTGCTGATGGCTGTCAGGCTTCAGAGAAGCCACTGAGACTTTGGGGTGTGCCCGTGAAATGGGCCTCCTTAGTGTTGCTTACCTTCGTGACCACCTGGACGATTTTTTCGATCAAGCTGGCACGGTCGAGCAGCCAAGAATATCGGATGCTCGTTCGCCTGGCTGTTCATGGCGAGTCTTTACTACTTCCGTTTGGTCCTGTTAGAGTCCAACAAGGGCTCCTGTGGCCATGGTCATGCTTTTCTTTTGCATAGGACAGGATCTGAAGCACTTGCTATGTACAGACATAGGATTTGCCATAAGCTTAGGTCATGTGTCCAGATCTGTGCACCTGCATTAAGGCAGTCACCCTCAAAGGTAGTCACAGGGTTTGATGGATCGGTCCAGCGGTTTGACTGCTCTTGACGCATGTGACGCATGAGGAACAGCTCTGTTGTGCTTTTCACCGAGCTCTTCAAGCTGGCCTTAAGCTTCGCGTTCCTATCGCTGGAGACGAAGAAGAGTTATATATATATAGAGAAGCGGTTGAACCCTCTCCCTCTTCCTGCATAAGCGACACCACACGGAAAGTTTTCTCACGAAGATAAACTCTTGTCTTATCAGACCAGCAGCGTTTACTAGTAGCGAACATTGCTCCTAGTAGTACGGCCAGGAGCCCCTAGTAGCGTCCTTGCTCCTAGTAGCGATGCCAGGAGCCCCTAGTAGCTTCTTGTTCCTAGTTGGTTTGGGTGTTTGTCTATTTTCTACCCCGGCCTTTTCTTAAGCGTGCTGTGAGGAGACCAAGAGTCCCATGGCGGCTGTGAGAAGCTTTTGGATCGAATGTCGGACCAAGCCATTGGCAATGCTCAAGCTGTGCGTTCCAGGTTTGGCTTACACCATTCAAAACAACCTGATCTTCCTGTCGGTGGACTTCTTGAGTGCAGCTGTGCAGCAGGTCACATACCAGCTCAAGATGCTAAGTTGCTCATATTGTTTGCTATTTTTTGGCGCCCCTTTGAAATTGGGTGTCCTCCTTCCTTCTCTTAGTCAGGTTCGGGCAGGTTGCTTCGTGTGATTGTGTTTGGACCGTGAAGGATTCTCACGGCAGCGCTACTGAGTGTTGTGATGCTGAAGAGGACGGTTGGTCGCAAGCGGTGGATTGCACTGTGCATTCTGGTTGCTGGAGTGATGCTCGTGCAAGTCCCACGGAATGCCGAGGTGTCATCAGTGCCTCGGATGCAGCACAAGGTCAGTTTGCAAGTCAACTCTGGGTCGCACCAAGGTTTCGGATTGCAAGTCCTGATCGAAGTCCATCATTTCTCCAGACAAGCTCGGACGTAAAGAACTTGTGCACCCAAACATACTGATGACTAAACACAGAAGGAATCAATCCTCTTACACCCGAAGCTCAAGCCCCATACCATCCAATAGAACACAACACTTCAAGATCGCCCGCAGCCCAATAAACCGATGCCAAAGCCCTCAAGTACTCAACATCCAGACATTGCTATTAGGTTGTATTGCTAGTAGGTTGGAGGCCATCGCTATTAGGTTCCTTATCTTGGATGCTCCTTAGTTCTTGTGTTCGGGGAGCTTCGTGGATCGGATTTGGCGGAGGCTCCAGGCACCACTGGTGCTACGCGTGCCTTCATGGGCTTCCTGGCAGCGCTGGGCGCATGCTTTGCCAGTGGCTTTGGAGGGGTGGCTTGGTGGGGACATTGAAAGACCCATGAGCATTGCAAGCACCCTGGACTAGTGTCCACACTAGGGCTAAACTTTGCTAAAAGCTGCTTGGGAACTTGCCTCGGTTATGTGACGTGAGGAGGCTCTCGAGGCTTTTCTTTTTCTACATTTGAGGCTTCACATCTGAAACAATATATATATATATATGCAACCATCAAAGTCCTTATTTAGTGTGCTTCGGTTACCCACACAAGGTACGACTTCAAACACAACACCTACAGCCTTACATAGGCATGGAAGCCTGAGACCTTGCAAAAAATCAACTACAGCTCAAGTGACGCAACCTTGGTCCCAAGCAACTGGGTCATTTTTGCTCGACCTGACGCCATACGATCTAAACGCCTCAGAATACCCAGTAACTTGGAGTACTCTTGAGCCCAGTGCCGTCAACGTAGAACACCACTCTGGGCCACAGAAGGTGCGTTTTCCGTGTCGCTGGAATAAGGCACTTGGAGAGTTTGCATCTACGCTTCTGTCTCGGGCTTTTCTTGGGGTCTGTAGAGACATAGATGCTACAAGAAATCAACCCCGTAGGCTGCCAATCTCCCTGAACAGTATGCTTCGCCGTTTTGACACGATTCTTACTCCTCAAGCAAGAAGAGTCTCACGTGCCGAGCATCTTGAGGGATCTCCCCCTAGTGTGACCGGACCATCAACCCTGCAGCTTCACAATCTTCCGACTTGATTTGCAAGCGTGATCAAACAGAGAACCAGCTTAGATATAGCAGCTTAGATGGGTACTCCTTTGCTGTGGGTTTCGCCTTCCTTGGCTTTCTTCTTGACAAACACCTACCTGAAAACTCGATCTGTTTTGTTCATCTGGCGACTGGGCTTGTAACTTGCAGTTTGCCTGCTCATGTTTCCCGGCCATGAAGAGTATGGCTTTCAGGTGTTCATGGAGATGGTCTTGAAGGGTTCTGCAACTTCGATCTGGCTTCGGAATGCTCAGTTGGCAATTTTTGGGGCTTCAACAGCAGCTTGGGTGGTCTTCCAGGAGGGTCATGAGGCGCCTTTGGTGCATGGCTATACCTTCTGGGTGTGGCTGATGGCCTTTACTGTTGCTTCTGGCGGCATGTTAGTTGCTGCAGTCTTGAAATATGCTGACAACATCTTGAGGCAATTCAGTGACTTCGGTTGATTTGAGCAGCTTTGTCGGTGGGTCAGATTGAAGGCCGGAGGATAGGATTTAATAGGGTGGCAAGGCATTTTCAGACAGTCCCAAGGTTGTAACTGTTAAACGAAGTAACATTTTTTTCTTATGACTTCTGGAGTCACAATGACAGGCTGTTTGAGCCTACCACTTTCCCAATCTTTTCCAATCTTTTTGTTGCTGAAACAAGTGTCTCAAAATTTTAGTCTTTGACTCTTTGACCTCTCTCTCGCTCTCTCGCTCTCTTCAAAAAGAAAGGTACTGCGATCTCTGTAATTCTGACCACAGCACTTTCGGCTCTGGTCTTGGAAGACATCACTTTGGATATGATGTTTGCAGCTGGAACCGTCCTAACCATCGGGGCCACCTTCATGTACAGTGGCATGCTTGATGATTTCTTGCCGAAGTGGATGCAATAGCCATAGTAAAGGCCTTTCAGACAACTACAAACACAACGAGGAATTGTTTGAAATCGGAAAACGCATCAAATACTTTCCTTGGAGCTAACGTGGCCTTCCCGTGGGAGATGGACATCTTCCCAGCCCACCTTGGGAGGTGCTATTTCGGCTCAGGGGAGTATACGAGCTCTTATGGGCTCTGTATTTCAAGCCTTATGGGCTCTGAGATGGCCTTTTTGAGTACCAGGTTGGGTACTCTGAGACGTTGAGTTGAGCGTTTCAAGCGCTGAAACCTCTCAACTCAACGGCAGTCTCACCTTGTCATGTCGATCACAAAAATGCCGTGAAGAAGATGTCCACCCTGTCCAACGAGCACCATAAGAATGACTTTTGTTATTCGCACTGTATCAAAGCACGTGATTTGCGAAGGGCAATGTTCAGCTTGCTAAGAAACATTTGAAGCGTCAAACTTTAGCAGCAGCTGTTATTTGCAGCACATTTTTGATGTAGTGAAAACTAAGCCCACGGGGGCTGCTGTGAATACTGAATCCTTGGATTGGACTGTTCCTAACTTGGATCTCTTGACAGTTCAAGGACCATCCATCATTCCTGCCAAGTGCACGACCAGACCACTAAGTCAGACACAAAGATAGCAATGCAAGTGTCCTGCATCCTTTTTTCTCTCTTAGTGCCATGCCTCTACCCATGAAAAGACACCTGCAGAGCACTCAGATGGCTCCTCATCCGATAGATCTGACCGAAACGCCGATGCGTGTCTTGCTCGTGGATGGCAACGCAATGCACCTGGAAGCAGGTGGGGTTGATGAAACGCCTCCGTCAATCATATAGGGGTTACCACAGTTTAGTGGTATATGGTATATGCATCCATTTTGGCAAAGCCTTCAAGGTCGCCTCCAGCTGATGTGAAAAGGCATGTTGTGCATGCCCAAGCACTCTAGAAGGGAACAGCGCTAAATTGAAAGGGCCGGCCCTGCTGAACCCATGAACCACCAAAACGGTGAAGTATGGTGATCTCGGGCAAAAACATACTTGGAAGAATTAATTTGACACAGGCAAGACTGCGGATGGCCGATGGTCCGCAGTGAGCAACCGCTTTTGGACTGAATCGAGAGGGTGCCCAGGGTTCCATCAATTTCAGCAACAATACTAGTGACTATTTTTCACCAGAGTTTGTTTGAGTGTGAGTGACATCCTTGCATTTGGGTATGGCCAGTCTGACCTGCCAGAGACCACCCACGCGCATCTCTTTAGACACGACAGGTGAGGTTGGCCGTTGCAGAGCTCAACCTGCTGAAGGATTTTGATGGCTTACAGTGACACATGGCGGTGGTATGTGGGTATCCATGACTTGTGGTGGGGGTTGAGGCAAAAATCTGTCATTCTCGCTATTTCACTGCTGTGGGAACGTGCTTTGGCAACTGAGCGGAGCTTGTTGGGAAGCAGCTTACGCCACTAGTGGATTAGGGTGTGCAAATGCATTTGTGAAAAACAGGATCATTTGCATAATTTGCTTCTTTTTGGCAATTGCAAGCATCCAAAAGTGCACTGCTGGGAGGAGAAGTCGCCAACAGATTTGCTTGCGGCTGTGGAAACAGAGGTCGACCTGGGGAGCAAAGCAAAGCAGTGGCTCCAGCTCTATTTCAATGGGTCGGTTGTTCCACAGCTCCAGACAGTGTAGGCCTTTGTTCAGATCCTCAAGCTGTTCTTTACGATTCGTTTGATGTCAACTTGAGGACACCCAGGGTTTGCAGTCAGAAACTGGACAACAACCCGGACATAGCCAATAATTGAAGTTCCGTTGCCAGCAAGTTTGCTGTTTGTGGAATGTGCAGGCTCTCAAAGTGGCACAAGAAGTGGAAAATACTGAGCAGGACCCACACTCAGCTCTGATGGGCTTCTTCCGCGGCCGCAATAAACAGATCAGTCTAGCCGTTTAGCTGGGAATCACAACCAACACTAAGACTCGCAGCTTTGTTGCACATCACAGTAGTCACAGCCAGAGGAGCTGTTATGTTTATTTGAATTGAATGTTCTGCATCGCATCACCAGAAGGAATATTGATCAGAACCACCACAATTCTAGGCACTCCCATTGCTTCTAGGTTGGAGGCCATCGTTCTTGGGTTGGAGGGTTCAGGGTTTAGATTTTAGGGGAGCAATCGGGCAGCAACGATAACGCATCGGTCCGTCGGGCTGTGCCGCCAGACTTCCAGGATTTGGCCGCAAAACGATCGTTGGCTTTGGCCGAAGCGACCCTGCTGGCTGCTGGGCCGGGAGAAGACTTCAAGTCTGCATTGCAGCAGGCCCAGGAGCAGGCTGCTCACGGTTCATGGCCGGTGCAGATCTTTTGATCTTGGATCGGATGCTTGTCTCTTTGATCTTTGACATGTAAAACGGTAAAAAAGGTGTTTGTTTGCCATTGCATTGCAAGAAAAACAACACTCTTGCTTCCTTGTGTACCTACGGCCAACGAACGATGAATGAATGGGGTGTGGCAAAGCTGCACTTGGTAATGGACCCTCTGAGGCATTCTGGAGTCTCCCCTTCTGTATCAGGGTGGAGAATACCAAGTGAAGTGTAGTAGGTGACCCGCAGTGGAACCAAATGAATACTGTAGTTTGAGCTATTCTGCGTAGGTAGTAGCTACCTATTGGTAGTAGCTACTAGCCTTACTCAATTAAGTAGCCGCTTACTTACTTAAGTAAGGGTGAGGGCAACCGGCTTTTCAAAAAAAGAGTCGAAGGTGACCCGCAGTGGAGAAGTCCAAACTCTCAAACTCCACATGGACTCAGTCCAAACCCACAGAGCCCGGAGGTGAGGGGTGCGAGTGTGACTGGCGCCGAAGGAGTGGATGTGAGGAATGTGAGGGCGCGTCTTGAGTCTCGCAAGGAGGGTCTCTAAGGGTAGGTAATTGTTCCTAGTAGCTTCTTGTTACTACTAGTAAGGCACCTAGTACTAGTAGCGATGCACTTGTTCCTAGTAGCTTCTGGATTTGGAGACACGTAATGACCTCTATTTGTTCTTGTAGACGCTCTGTGGGATTCTGCGCTGAAAGGAGCAAGCTTGGATGTTGAGCTGCTTCAGCTAGAAGCCTTGGCAGCCTTGACAAGAAGGTGGGTGAAGATAAAAATCTCTTTCAGGTCTTGCAAGAATGTTTCTAATTGCGCGTGCCTTACAGTCCTGGACGTAATTACCCTTCACCACAAGCTAGAATGCTTTTGAAGTCTTTTCTCTCGTTTTCCTGATTTTCTTCAGAACTTTAAGTATTTTTGTTGCTTTTATTCGCAAAGGCGCGTAACTACCCCTCACTGGTGAGCTGTCTTCATCGTCCCGCTCCAATGCATTGCAATTGTCTCAAGGTCGCCCAGAGCCTTCCGAGCAGCCGTCCCGGCCGTCGCTGTCCCTGTGAGCTCTCAGATGCCAAAAGTCTTGGCGTTGGACTCGATTGCCTCGCGCTTGTGCGACGACTTTGACAATGCCATCGGAACCGCGCAGCAACTGATTGAGCTCCACCGCGGACAGGTGAGGGGTGGGATGGATGTGGATGGAGGGTTTGATAGGCCAATGCTGTGAGGTGACTGGGGTCAGGAAAAGGGTTTGAAGAAACAGATGCCAATAACAAATGCGGCAAGTATGTTGGAGGCCATTGCTATTATGTTGGAGGCCATCACCATTAGGTTGGAGGCCATCACTACTGGGTGGAGGCCATCGCTCTTAGGTTGGAGGCCATTGCTATTAGTTAACAAAAGAGCATGAGCTTCTCAATGTCAAACTCTGAGAAGTATGTGACGTGTGATTCAAGGCTTCTCGATCAAACCTGAGGAGCGCCAGTGAGCCGTAGTGACGAACAGTGGTAGTGATTGAATGTAAGCAAGTCAGAACCTGGAACCTATGAATTTGGAAGAACTGACTGAACCGAACCGGCTGAACGCGCTGGAGGTTGATTTGGAGTGTTGGGGCGAGGTGTTGCTGTCCAGCGCGGCCTTGGCACGGGCCTCCTGCCATTTCCATCGTAACGGACCGCCTTCACCTACTCCGCCTGGTCGGCCGCCGGGTTTCTCAATGACGCCCTTGGCCGGGATGTACTTGGAGGATCTCAAGCGAGCTCATGCGGCGGCCGAGCGGGCCTTTGCGCTGTCCTCGCGGAGTTACAGAGTTTATGCGCTGCAGAGACTATGTGAGGTCATGTCGTTGAAAGGCCTGGCGACGGAGGCGCGTTTTTTCTCCAGATATTTTTGGTGAGAACTATCGTACGTGAAGGACCTAGTTCATACTGTAATGTTTGGATCTTTCTTTTGTGATTTGGCCGGACAAAAGGTCTTGGAGACTGACCAGAGACCACGGGATGATCAACATCTCTGTGGTCTACAGTCAACACTTCTTTGGTGAAACTGTCGGATCACGGGTTGGACCAGAAGATCTCTCTCTCTTTCTCTCTTTGTATATATATAGATAACAAAAGGCGTATCTATCGCAGTATACAGACTGACTTGTAACATAATGCAAATCCATTTGTGGGGAATCCATGATAATCCTCACCATGTCTCCCTTGTTTTAGGATTCTAAGACTGCATCCGATGTCACACATTTGTAACCTTCAGGGCCACTTTTGAAAAGCATTTGGGTCAACATCAGGGCGAACAACTGGTGTGAAAACATTGAGGATCCAGGATTGATTTTATCGTCCCATCAACCACCAATCACCGGTGGTTCAAGACACTCGCAATGATGCTTGGAACAGTGAGGCGGAGGCCTTGGTACAAAGGGAAATCAGAAACGCTCGGGCGGCGAAAGTCCCTCAGATGGAGTGTCTTGGCTTTCTCAGACACTTGCTTTCAATCATGCATTTACCACCATCGGAGCGTGTTTTCACTGTAATAGGATTAAATATGTATATATATAGACACATACATACCTAAATCAGGACAAGGGCCAGATCACGCTTGGCACTATGTTCCGACAAAATCAGGTCACTGAGGGTCATGAAAAGGACTCTTGAGGGATTGAATCAGCTGCGGGGAGAAAAGTCTGCTCACCCCCAATGATCTACCTTTTCCTCTTCCTCAGCTCTTTTGCATCATTTCACTGCCTTTCCTCTGTTTTTCTCCAGATAGTGAGAGCTATTCGGGTTCTTACTTCAAGTATAGCAAGAGGTGCTTGCGTGCTCTTTGGCGGCCTGGGTGCTGGTGCCACTGCAGGGTGTTGCTGGCAGGTGTCTATGGCAGTGTGCGCTTGTGGAGGTTGCTATGGTTGCTGTCCCTCCCTAGTCTTTACCGCCTAAAGTGTATACATGCACAAATTCAGAGAGATTGGGGG